CCCCTAAATTAATGACTTAAAACAACAAACAATTATTATCTCATAGCTTCCGGAATTCAAGAATTTGGGATTGAGTTAGTTGTGGAGTTCCCCCTTCAGGATCTCTTATGAGCTTGTAAAGTAGATACTGGCTGGAGCTTTAGACCCCTGTCTTGACTGGGGCTGTAGGATCTTCTGGAAATTCACTCATGGGGTATTTGTCTTTTGGGGTCTGGCTTATTTCACTAAGTATGATGGTTTCCAGAGATTCTGAATTCTGCAACTATGGAAGCTGATCAAACAGTCAATAGGCAGCTTCTGCTTCTGTATCTGTTGTTGTGCCTGAAGTTGATGGGGCCAATAGTCAAGGAGGAAACAGGGACTTAAAGTAAGAGAGAACATACACAAACTGAAACTCACAAGAATTAGAATCCTCAAGGGCACACTGAAACCTCTGAGGACAAACTGGAAGAAATGAAGACAAGCTAGAATGTGTGCCTGATTCTTACCAGCTCCATCTTTTCAACAAAAATTTACTTGAAAGAAACTCTAAGTGACCTCCAACACACTGATTCACTCCTCAAATACCAGCAGTGTCTAGGACTGGGTCAAGGCTGGATCCAGGAGCTGGAAAAGCAATACAGATCTCTCACGAGAGTGACAGGCACCCAGTCACGTGAGCCCTCACTGGTACCTCCCAGGTTCTGCATTAGAAGGAAGCTGGACTCTCAGAATTGACTTGGGACACTCTGATGTGGTAAGCAGGTGTTTTAAAAGCTACGCTAAATGTCCACTCTAGCTGTATCTTTTTTTTTTTTTTGTAAAGATTTATTTGTTTATTTGAAAAAGAAACAGAGAGGGAGTTGGAGAGAGACCTTCTAACTGCTGATTCCCTCCCTAAGTAGCCACAGCAGTCAGGAGCCAGGAGCCAGGAACTCCATCCAGGTCTTCAACATGGATGGCAGGGGGCCGAGAAGTTGAGCCATCCTCTGCTGCCTTCCCAGTCCCATTAGCAGGAAGCTGGATCAGTAGCAGGGCAGCTGAGACTTGAATGGGTACTCCCATATGGCATGCCCGGCATGGCAGGGCAGTGGCTTAACCTGCTGCACTGGCCTTCAGCTCTGCCTTTAATAATGTCAGTGGCTGTGGATCAGCTGGACTCCTTTGCCATGAAGCTGCTCCAAAACCTGGCAGGAGGATTTTGCTCCACATTTGTTCAATGATACGTGCCACAGGGCAGGGCCTTTAATATGTGCTTCCTCTTCTTGATAGTAGCAGTTCGGGGAAAGATTTAAGTGAACATTTACAGCAGTGGGTGGAACTATTGGGAAACAAGCATGAAAGAGAGAAAAGGGAGAACTGAATGTGTTCAAAGGAGCAGCTGAGCCCATCTGGTGGGGAAACACTGGTCCGGGGCAGCCATTCTCAGTCACGGTTAGTGTTCTCTAGATGTGTGAAGAGAACAGAAATGAATTTCACTTAGTATCAGGAACTGCATAGAATCTAAAACTAGGTTTTTTTCTTGCTGACTGGAAGCCAAAAGCAAGGGAACATGCAAACATGTGAATCAGAAACAGTGTGGCACAAAGATGCTGGCATGTGATTTTTTTCCAGACCATAAAACAAATATCTTTATGGCACTGCACAGCTCACAGGTGTATTATTATGTCCTCTGGTCATTGCCACAAATGTGCCTATGGCATGTTAGGCATTAGCTACCTCTGGTTTTCATGGATATTAGCTAAGTGTAGAAGAACTTAAGGTAAGTATTCAGGGTTATGAAGATTATTAAGCTAGAAATGGACAGAACCATACATTTAACATGGTTTTCTGGGGTTAACATACACTCCTTTTAGGGAAGTAGAGTCCATTGCATTAAGTAAGAGAAGATTCACTAGACTTTCATGCTATTTTCTCTCTTGTCACATATCAGAAAAAGAGCAAAGAACTTAGATTAATATTTTACTTAATTTAATTATTTAACCCGACTACCACAGAAAGTAACTAAACATGCTCTTGTTTTTAACTGTATAGATTTGTTTTGATTCTCAGTTAACATACATAATATAACAATAAAGGAAATACTTCCCTAAAACATCAATTTTTTCAGTCCATATGAATTCCTTATCCATATGAATTCATATGAAGATGTAACAGTACTGGCAGCATTTCATATCCCACATGTATTTGTTAACATTATCTCATGAAAAACATCTGTTTTCCATCATTTCTATCAGGTCCTTCTAATGGTTGCTGATATTCTATGATATACTCACACTTACTCATAAAGGTATTCCTCATTTTCTAATAGGCTGTCAAAACCAAAAGAAACAACTCTAGGTTCCAGTGTCCAGCATAGCAGTTAAGATGTTTGTGTCCTGGCCATTCCCCTTCCAATCCTGCTCCCTGCTAATGCTCCTGGACAAGGAGCGGAGGATGGCCCAAGTGTTTAGGCCCCTGCTTCCCACATGGAAGATCCCGAAGAAGTTCCTGCCTTCTGCCTGGCCCAACACTGGCCACTGTGGCCATTTGGGGAGTGAACCAATGGGTGGAAGATCTCTCTCTCTCTGTGTTAACTCTGCTTTCAAAATACATAAATCTTAAAAAAATGGCCATTAACTATAGCAGAATCTCAACCCAAGCCCTTTCATAGAGTGAAAGTTCTCTCTAAACCACAGCAGCACAAGTCCTAATATCAACAATGCTGTCATGTCCTGCTGACATACCCAGTCTTCCTTCTAGACAAGTGCACTAAAAGATGTGCCTTGTTTTCTCTTCTACGTTGTTAGGAAAAGTAGATGGAGACCATAAACCAAAGTCTACAGACGCTTCAATTCATAGCACAAAAGACCTGGAGTACAAGTCATTAAGTATGAGTTTGGCAAATAGGCCAAAGCCTTGTTACTTTAATTGGGAAAATAAACACATTTACTTTGTCTCTGTTTATAGCTTGTGGCACATTCTTTTTTTAATTTATTTGACAGATAGAGGTAGTGAGAGAGAGCTTGTGGCACATTTTACATGTTCACTTCCAGGGTTTTCAGAAATGACTTTTTGTAAGTACCCCTGAGGCTGATGAGGGCTGAGTGTCCAGAGAAAGATGGATGCCCTGGCTCCTTGAGTCACCTAGGGAAGGTGGAAACAGAAGCAAGTCTGGAATTTCTCCCTTGGACTGACAAAGATTATAGTGATAATTGCTAGTTGCTGTTATGGATACAGAGAGAGATTCCGCTTGTCAGCATAAACCAGCTTTTCCAAAACAAGAATTCTGTGTAAAGTTATCTGTTGGGTACTATTTTATAATAAAAAAGCACTGTCTGAAAGGCCCATTTATCTTGTGTTTTTGATGCATGTTTTCATCCAGTTCATTGCCTTGGAAACACATAGCATCAGGACTCTAACAAAATGTCTTCATTGTCAATGTATCAACTGCAGAAGCAGGAGGGTTCATTTTCCTGTTCACTGTTTTTACAGACTCTCAAAATTGCTGGTGACTCTTGCTCCACACTAAAACAATACACGTTAAAACATTTTTTTAATTGCCCCAAAGACTCTATATACTTCATGAGGTTAGGACCCTTGTTGACTGAAATCCCAGTACTCTAATTAAGACTGCAATCCCAGGACCTGAAATAGTGCCTGGCATGTTGTGGGCACTGCATTTGCGGGTTGTCTTGACTCATCTGGGCAGTTGATCAGCTCCAGGAGGTGTTCATTCCAATACTTGCTCAGCTAGGACTAGAATGTCCAAGATAGGGCTGCTGGAATGATTAGAACCTGGCTGGCCTCTCCCTCTCACTGTCTAGTTGGACTTCTCAGATGGTGCCTCATGCCAACAAGAATCCTTCTCTTTTAAAAAAACTAACCTATAGGATTATTTTATAGTCACTGAACATTTTCCAAATTTGTTGTTTTTGTATTATTGATTAAATTGACATAAAATTTACAGGTTTATAATTATATCCAAAGAAATGATAAAAACAAAAGCATCAATGTTTTATTTTTCCAGAAAACAAATCTGAGCTGCAACAGTGTATTGATTTAAAAAATGACAGCTTTTCTTTGAAGTATCTTGAAGTTGTGAATGTCATACACTTATTATATAATATGAGCTTGTTTTGACTTAATGGGGGGAGCAAATATGATTTTAAAAACATTTAACTGCAGTGTATTCTAAAGTTTATTTTCAAAGCACTATTTTTTTCAGATGTTATTAGCATATAAGTTGTAACAATCAAAGTACCTCTGAAAATCTTCCCAATAAAGTATTTTACTAAGTATATTTTCCCTTGGAACATCACAACTACAAAAGTGAAACAAATATTGATAATCTATAGCAATTTGAGAACAAACTACTTTCTATGGCTAACAGAATAATTGAAATGTAAGTCTTTTACAGAGGGATTGTAGAACAAGTATCAGTTGCTAGAGTGCTAATGAATTTGTTTGAGTCTTTAGAAAATGCAGAAAACTACAATTGCTATTTTTCTTTTTCATAATATCAAGTCAATCAACAAAATATAGCAAAATATTTCAACTCTTACTTTCATTTACTTTCTTCCACATTTTGATTTTTTAATTATCAGCCACGCCTTATTTTTTTTTTAATTTTAAATTATTTTTTAAAGATTTATTTATTTGAAAGAGTTACAGAGAGGCAGAGGCAGAGACAGAGAGAGGTCTTCCAACTGCTGGTTCACTCCCTGATTGCCCACAATGGCCAGAGCTGGGCTGATCTAGAGTCAGGAGCCAGGAGCTTCTTCTGGGTTTCCCATGCTGGTGCAGGGGCCCAAGGACTTGGGCCATCTTCTACTGCTCTCCCAGGCCATAGCAGAGAGCTGGATTGGAAATGGAGTAGCCAGGGCTCGAACCAGTGCCCATATGGGATGCTGGCACTGTAGGCAGCAGCTTTACTTGTTATGCCACAGTTCCGGCCCCCACATTTTGATTTTGATAAGTGTCTTTTCAATGTTTGATTTTTAATATTGGCCATCAATTTAGCTTGTTTTAGATTTGGCTAAGTGCTTGCTGCAGCAGCGTGTATACTAAAATTGGAACAATGCAGAGATTATCATGGCCCCTTCACAAGGATGACTTGCTAATTTGTGAAGTGTTCCATTAAAAAATAAACAGATTTTGCTATATTTATTCACCCTCATCACCACCAAACCCACAACCTAGCTATTAATATGTCTCCATTGACTTTAGAATATAGTTCTAAATATAATTCAGTGTTCTATAATCTAACATCAACACACTACATCTATTTGTAGAACAATCATGATCTTTGAGAAAATGTAAAATTTAAATATGTAGTTTTTATTGAAATTTTTCAAAGATGCAAAAGATTGGCTTTTTAAGCTATCAAAATGTTATAAAGCTTCATTTTAATAACTAAATCATACCAATATACATTATATATAAACTTCACAAGCAATTGAAAACTATGTTTCAGGAAATATTTCTTAGATTTCTGATTAAATATAGTATAGTTGTTGAGCTTTTTTATATTTAAAAGGATAAACTTTCTCATTTATTTAAAAAAGCTTAAATGTAACTTTACCATTTTAAAATGAGTGAAGTTGTTTTAAAGCAAAGTCTACTTTGGGTAGCAAAGATAGGTGTTTCATTTTGTAGGAACTCTAAAACGTAATTATTTTGAATCCACATTAAAGTTTCAAACAATCCAAATGCATCAGAAAAATTACTCAACATGCCATCAGTCCAAATACTAATTAAGAGAATAATCAGTCTCACTATTTGTTAAACATTTTAACATACATGTTAAGGGCTGGCACCATGGCTCAATAGGCTAATCCTCCACCTGTGGCTGTGGCACACCGGGTTCTAGTCCCGGTTGGGGTGCTGGATTCTGTCCCAGTTGCCCCTCGATCAGTCCAACTCTCTGCTATGGCCCGGGAGTGCAGTGGAGGATGGCCCAGGTCCTTGGGCCCTGCACCTGCATGGGAGACCAGGAGAAGCACCTGGCTCCTGGCTTCGGATCAGTGCGGTACGCGGGCTGCAGAGGCCATTGTGGGGTGAACCAATGGAAAAGGAAGACCTTTCTCTCTGTCTTTCTCTCTCACTGTCCACTCTGTCAAAAAAAAATGTTAAGATATTTTAGAAAATAAGTACTGCTCATACATGAATTGGACACATGCAAACACTCTCTGTGGGAATGTCAGTTGATGCAATTTGCTGGAAAGGAAGAGGGCAATTTAGCAGGGTCTAGGAAAAATGGAGCACTTCGAGAATTCCTGACACACAGATTTATGAGTAAAATAAAACAATGGTTTTATACATTACTACATTTTGAAGTAACTTATTACAGAGCAATAAATAACCAGAACATAAATTCATTTAAAAGTTGAACACTGGGTAGCGATTTCCTCTTTTGGGACCTGCCTCTTTAGGAGCAATAGAAATCCCAATTTTTTTTTTTTTTTATTTCAGAGGTAGAGTTAGACAGTGAGAGAGATACACAGAGAGGTCTTTCTTTCATTGGTTCAGCCCCCAAATGGCCACTATGGCCAGCGCTGCACCGATCCGAAGCCAGGAGCCAGGTGCTTCCTCCTTCCCATGGGGTGCAGGGCCTAAGCACTTGGGCCATCCTCCACTGCCTTCCCCGGCAACAGCAGAGAGCTGGCCTGGAAGAGGAGCAACTGGGACTAGAACCCAGTGCCCATATGGGATGCCAGTGCCGCAGACGGAGGATTAACCAAGTGAGCCATGGTGCTGGCCCCCCCAGAAATCCCAATCTTTACCAGTCTACTCCATACTCCAACCAATTTTTATAAGGGACAGTCTACTTCAGGTGTTTCTTTTTTTTTTTTTTTTTGGCCAATATTCTATATGAGGTTACTTCAGGCAGAGTTATTCCAATAGTTATCTTGATTTTCTTTACCAAGACAAAAATTTATTACATGGGTAATATGTTCATTATTTTACCAATCTTTGCTTGGGCCTCCATTTTCTATGAAGGTTTGCTGCAGCAATTTAATATTTGCCCACAGCTATTTATGCTTATATCAAGTTATACAAAAGTCAAAAGGACTTAGAGGTATCCTTTTGTCAGGCCTGGTACTAATTTACAGTGAATTAGAGTGGATTCCCTCTCTTCCTTTTCATGTTTATGTTACTGACTGAAAGCCATTTTTGAATGTCATAGTTTTATTTCTGGTTCATTGACATAAATAGCAAAATGCATATTATCCTATAGAATAATTTATTGCTCTACTTGCTTTTTTTTTGGACAGGCAGAGTTAGACAACAGGGGGAGAGAGAGAGAGAGAGAGAGAAAGACAGAGACAGAGAGAAAGGTCTTCCTTCCATCGGTTCAAGGTTCACCCCCGAAATGGCTGCTATGGCTGTCACGCTGCACCAATCTGAAGCCAGGAGCCAGGTGCTTCTTCCAGGTCTTCCAAGTGGGTGCAGGTCCTAAGCACTTAGGCCATCCTCCACTGCACTCCTGGGCCCCAGCAGAGAGCTGGACTGGAAGTGGAGCAACCGGGACAGAATCTGGCGCCCCAAATGGGACTAGAACCCGAAGTGCCGGCACTGCAGGTGGAGGATTAGCCTAGTGAGCAGTGGCGCCAGCCGCTCTACCTGCTTATATAGCTATCATCTGAAATAGTGGCTAATACACAGATATTCTAAATCAAATCTCATTTTTGACACACATTCTCAAATATCGTTTCTACCAGCAACTTTCTTTAGTGGAACTGATCATTTTATTGAGGAGTGTAATTAGTAGGCAGATAACCTTGAGAGATTCACTAAAATTACAATACTTAAAATGGTTGGTGGGTATTTTCAAATTTCATAGCCATAGAAATTGAATGATTATATCTACATTAAATATTTTTCCAAGGTAAAGTTTTTGTGACTATGCTTTACGCCATACAATTTCAGAACACTACATATGTATTTGTCTCTGTGTGAAAAGAGATTCAGTGTTTTGTGTCAAAGAAAATGTTGATCCTGACTACCTACAGTTATTGTTGGGCTAACTTTAATTCTTAGGTAAAGTTGTCATATATGCAGGCAGGTGTTCAGTTTAGGCTAATCAATATTCGTGTACAATGTTGCATTTACATTTTACTTGTTTATGAAGCATATAGATTTGTTTTTATTCAGCTACAAAGAATGTCTCCATGCTATATTCTTGCGAAAACAATATCAGTACTATACCATACCAAGAAGTAAACCAACTCTCCTACACGAAAATCTCAGTAATAACATCCGTCTACGTTGTCCCACCCAACATGATGCAGTCCCAGAGGTTCAAGCTCCTATGTATGCAGAAGTAGGAGTGAACAATGGCAGAGAGCAGTATTAATGGTCATTACAAAGGCCTATAAAAGACATTTTCTCATGTACCAATATTATTAAAAAATCCTTCAAAGTTTTTAGTTGTTATCACTAGATATTTTACCTTATATAATTTATTACTAATCATTGTGCCCTATTTGTTTTGACTGATGTTTTTGAACTTACATAAAATGCTCAGAATTTTTGAACTTTTTCTATTCTGCCTTTAGCTTTCTTTCTCCCATATTTTCTCATTTATTTATTTTAATATCCTTGTTTAAATATGTCCATAAAATATTTAAAATCACACTTGGAATAAAATGATCATACGCACACTTAGCTGTAAATGAGAGATTCTAAGAAAATTATTAATAATTAACATCATGATTTGTAAACTTAAACTAAAATTCATGTCATCACAAGTCTAATATTTAAAGTTTCAACTTTTTAACAGATTTATTTGAAAGGCAGAGTTACAAAGAGAAAGACAGACAGAAAGGTCTTCCATCTGCTGGTTCACTCCCCAAATGGCTGCATTGGCTGGAGGTGGACCAGGCCAAAGCCAGGAGCCTGGAGCTTCTACCAGGTCTCCCACATGGGTATAGGGGTCCAAGGATATGGACTGAACTCTGCTTCCTTCTGAAGTTTCAATTTATAATGTTCAGTGGGGGCAGACATTTGGTTCAGTGATTAAGATGTCAGTTGGGGTGCCTACATCCCATATTGGAGTTTCTGGGTTCAAGTTCTGCTGATGCACACCCACGAGAGCAGCAGCTGTTGTCAGAAGTGGTTAAATCCGTGCTACCCATGTGGGTAACTGCAGTTGAGTTCTTGGCTACCAACTTCAACCTTGCCCAGCTGCTTGAATGTGTGCTAACTTGGATAATATGCATAGGAGTTCCCAGACAGTGTGTCCTGTCATGATTAAAAAGACAGACCCAGTTATCAAATGGAACTTTTGTTTTTACCATTACTTGATAGCACGTCATTCTTTATATAACACCAATCTGGTTTTAGTAGAAGTTATTTGTACAAGTCTACAGTTCAGTCAGCAATTTAGGGCTACAGAAACAAATTTTAAGTGACAAGTTGGTCCTCGTAGCAGTCAGTTTGTATTACGTCATGCTTCAGTCCCAAACAGCCCCAATATTTCAGTGGCTTACCACAACAAAATAGCTTATTTTCTGCATGTGTTAGTTGGAAAAAGAGACAACTTTGTTCAGCCCTGCTCCACATGTCTTCTTCATTATCAGAATCAAGCTGAAAGAACAGCAATTAAGGGGAAATTCTGTCCTCATAGTATAGAGAAAATAGAGAAGAAACTTGGTGGAAACACCCAGTCATTCTCTAAGGGTCTACTTCTAATTGGCATTCATCACTTCTATTCACATTTCCTTACTTGATGCATGTCATAGAGAATGGCAGTGTATACTCTGCTTGAAGGATAGCACTGCATGCCATATATCAATGGTGAGCAATAAATAAACTTCTTAGAGACAAAGGAGAAATGAACATTTAGGAACAATTATTCAGTCCACATAATATAACGGTGTGATAAAGTTGGAGAACAGAGAAGTGCAGAGCACTGACCCTGTTGCAGTGCAACATGAAGGTCAAGCATAAAAAAGGAGATAGCAAAAGACAGAATAACATATTAGAAAAATCCATGTAAGTCTGCTCTCATCAAAGCTAGATGGTTTTCTAAATAGGAGAGAGTGGTTAAATGCACTTGGTGACTCTGAATAGCCAATTAAAGAGGGTGATAGAGTTTTCCACAGTATTTGTCAAAAGTAACAAGACTGGGGCCATGAAAAG